GAGGTCCATACCAATTCTTTCGAAGGGGGCCTGCATTAGAGGAAGAGGGCGCAAAGGCGCTTTTGGGGAGGCCGGTGGATTTACCAGCTGACATTCACGACAAGCCGCGCACTACCAGTGCACATTCTCGTGAATGCCCGGCCAAAAGAATCGGGCCATGAGACGATTTAGTGTCGCTGCCTGTCCTAAATGTCCCGCCATTGGATTACAATGAGCCGCCTGGAAAAGCATTTCCCGACGGCTTTTAGGTACCAACAATTGGGTTGTATCCTGCTTTGTCTGAGTGTCTTGTGTCACTCGGTACAACCGCTCCTTTAAAACAGCAAAATAGGGATACAAGAGCGGACGGTCGGGATGGAGAGGCTGACCGTCGATGGTCTGAACCTGTTCAAATGCCCGTTTTAGGGACTCATCCTGGGACTGTTCCAGGGGGAAATCATCACGTTCAGAGAGGATTAGCCTCTCCTTCGCGCTCCGTTCCCCTGGCTCAGTATTCCGCGGTCCCGGTTCAGCTTCTCTCACGTGCGCGTCCGCTCCGTTCTCCAGCGTTCTCTCTCCACAAGATACATCCGCACACAAACAACCCAGTAATTGACTAAATGCTGGCCAATTCGTCCCCAAAATTAGCGGATGCCGGAGGTTTGGATTAATTGCGACCTCCACACTATGTTTTTGACCCTGAAATTGAATCAGCAAAGACATTAGAGGATATTTCACCACATTCCCGTGCACACAACGCACCGGAACCATGCGGCTTCTATCCAATGCCTCGAGCTGAATCAGGCTTTGATGGATCGAGGTTTGGTTACAACCTGAATCCACCAACGCGAGATAGGTACCCCCCTTAATACTCACAGGTATTTGGTACAGGCCAGCTGGATCGGGGGCAGCCTGTGGGTCGTCCGGGACCCGGATCAGTGCTCCGACTTCCATCACCGGGCACTGGTCAATGAAATGTCCGGGGTCCCCGCAACACCAACAGGCCGGCCCAGACTTTCCCGCCGCCCTAGTGGCAGGAAGTGGGTCAAGGGACTGCCCCTTAATACTCACAGGTATTTGGTACAGGCCAGCTTGATAGGGGGCAGCCTGTGGGTCGTCTTGTGGTCCCATTTTGTTCAGGGGCAGATGAGAGGGGCCGACGGTGGTCCTCGATGTCGGCCCTCCTTCCCGACCCTCCTGGTCCATCCAGCTCCGGGAACAGCAACAGTCAACATCTCCTGTTGCGCCTGCATCAGCATGCGAAAACGACGTTCCTGGTCGTCCCGCATTTCCAGCAACGCCTGATGTTGCTCTTGGTGGAGGCCGGCGAGCGATTGTATCACTTCTGCAAACGGCGAACTTGGCGGTGACTGCATAATGGTAGCGGCCGGACTTCTTCCTCCCGGGTTTCGGCAGCAGTGTAACGAGGTTCTTAGTAAGGAAGGAAGAAGTCGGAGTCAGCATGACTGAGGCTCGTGGCAATTTATTATGGTTCCCTTGGGAACAGCAAAGACAGGCAGGCGCTTCAAAATAAACAAAACTTATATTGCACTTCTGCGGTTCTCTAGCCACAGGCCACAGTCTTTCCCCATGAGTCCTCAGTCTGTCTCGTCCCTCTCTCTCTGCTTCCCCTGAGGCTTTTTACAGTCTCTCCAGGCCAATCACTGAAACGAGAAGCAGGTGAATGTCATTTTGCACTTGACCTACTTACTCACCACTTGTCTCCGACTGCTCTCTCCCACTGCAGACTCCGCTAAACCACGCCCCCCTCACCACAATCTCATTTAATCACGTCAAAATCTGAAATTTTCTTCAAAAAATTTTCATTTTTATTAGGCAATGTATAGGTCCTTTTCATTGTCATTACAGTGAAATAACTGAACATAAACATAAGTCTGATAAAAATGATTTTAGAAGAAAATTTCAGATGGCTTTTGCATCTGACGTCTTCATTTGTTCTTATTTTAGTATCACTTCACTTGTATTAGTGTACTTGTCTTTAATAAAGTTTGAATTTTATTATTATTATCTGTGAGTTTTGTGATCGCTACACCACACATTAACAGTTACTTATCACTAAAATAAGCAGTACACCTGGTCCATATTCTCATAATTTTGGGTATTGTTTGTCCACGTTTGGACAATTATTTGCATTCAATCAAACTGATTTGATTCCACTGATTTACGAAGGACAAACTCAACTCTACCGAATGCACATGAATGTTATAAATAATCCAACAGCAAAGTACACATACCTTATAAAACCTCAAGCAGTTTGAGCCCCCGAACCTTTCGCTTTCCATGCCGGCCAACAAAGTTGAACTCTATTGATAAGGGGTGGTCCAAAAGGAAGGCCATCATTCTTCTTGTCGCTTCATCCACAGTACTCCCTCCAATTTCTGCCACCACAGCAACCTAACGGAAAACAAGATTATCATTATTGGGGAGACAACACAAAAAATTAACCTGAATAATCGCAATTACATTTCCCCCGAAATCGTGCAGCCATAGGTTAATCGATGGTGCACTGCTATTTTACACTGGAAGTTGTAATCTACCGTGTGTATCGAGTCCATACATACAAGTCTATTACTCACAATTCCTATGGAACACTCCCATAATTAATATGCAGTTACCTCTGTAACAGATGTTTTATACTTGTACTACAATTGTGTTGTCTGTGCTACAAAAACATTCTACCTCTGTAGCAAAAAAGCTACATTACTGTGTAAATGTCTTAGGCCACCATTATATTTGTTGTTTTGGAAATGGTATTCAACCCTCTATTCAACCTTGGCAATTGAATCACCATTGGCTAGTATTTCATTTTGTTTACTCGCCAGACTCATATATATATATATATATATATACACACTGAACAAAATTATAAACGCAACACTTTTTTTTTTGCCCCCATTTTTCATGAGCTGAACTCAAAGACTTTTTTCTATGTACACAAAAGGCCTATTTCTCTCAAATATTGTTCACAAATATGTCTAAATCTGTGTTAGTGAGCACTTCTCCTTTGCCGAGATAATCCATCCACCTCACAGGTGTGGCATATCAAGATGCTGATTAGACAGCATGATTATTGCACAGGTGTGCCTTAGGCTGGCCAAAATAAAAGGCCACTCTAAAATGTGCAGTTTTATCACACAGCACAATGCCACAGATGTCGCAAGTTTTGAGGGCGCGTGCAATTGGCATGCTGACTGCAGGAATGTCCACCAGAGCTGTTGCCCGTGAGTTGAATGTTCATTTCTCTACCATAAGCCGTCTCCAAAGGCGTTTCAGAGAAATAGGCAGTACATCCAACCGGCCTCACAACCGCAGACCACAATAGGCCTTTTGTGTACATAGAAAAAGTCTTAGATCTTTGAGTTCAGCTCATGAAAAATGGGGGCAAAAACAAAAGTGTTGCGTTTATAATTTTGTTCAGTGTATATATATACATATATATATATTAGGGGTTGCACGACTACTGATTTCTGCTAGTCGATTTCTTATTTAAAAAAATACTCGAGTTACTCGACTACTTGTGGTTCATGCTACTGTAAATGAAAAGACATTAAATAGTTCTTATCAATAACACTTATTAATTCATAGCCTAATGCAACAATTACATATGTAAATTGTCACAACTTTATAATTACGACATTACATATTTTAATTTTCATGTAAAAGCCAGTATTTGTATCTGTATTTGTATCTGTAACAATCACAAAATTATTCGTATCTGCATTCGGATAAAACTAGGTGGAACGTCGTACAGTTAGTTACTTGATAAGACCGTTATGACTATATATTTTTTTCATAGTTATCACTGAACAAGTATGTCGTGTTAAACTAAAATAATCATTCATTTCTAAAAATATATTTATCATGAAACAGAGAGATGTCATGACAAACGTTTAGTGATCATTTGAATATAACTGAATTAATTCAATGCGCACATTTTCATTACGCAGAACTCTTTAAGCGAGTCTTTTTTTGAACTTCACTAAACAAATGTGCATGTGCCACGCAAACCAGCAAAAGATAAAGATGCAAACATGTAAGCCTAGTAGAAAAGGTATCTGTATCTACGTTGATTATTAACCTACTCTTGAGAGAGCTGGTTTGGTTTTTGAGAGACTGAGATGTACAGAGACGGCAACAAGGCTGTTTGATTGGTGAGCGCGCTGTGCTTATTCCATTAATTCGTATCATATCGTAGCCTAAGATTTAAATCATTGCCTTTTAAATATATACAATTAATAGAACGTGTATGATGTATTATTATAGGAGATATTACTCTTGCCAAGCTCTGATTTCTAAGAGATACACAGAGAGGAAACAGCAATGCGGTGTTTGATTTACACTCTTTTCATTCATAAAGTTTACATTCATTCATTCACTTCACACTCTATTGCATGACTTTAGAGGTCTGTGTATAATATTGCGCTGATCCCCTGGCTCAACAGTTATCTAGCAAACACCCGACTGTGCCAGCCTCAGCCGAATATTCAGGCAGAATTATTCCTTGTCCGTTATTCGTTTTTCACACCCCTATCCGTGCCATTCCGAATAAGGTATTCTGCTTCGGGCACACCCCTAATTATTACATTACATATTTTAATTTTACATGCGACATAGATATTGTCATAGAAAGTAACATCTACATGCAATATTGTAATCCTAAAATTCACGTCGTACTTGCAAACTCTGTGCATGCATTATGGTTAATGCATGCTCGAGTAGTCAATTGTTTCCGACAGCGCCGACTAGTGGTTGAAGTAGTCGATCACTCGACTAGTCTAAGCAAGCCCTAATATATATATATATATATATATATATATACACACACGTTTGTAAAATGGTACAGCTTTTTAAATATCTGAAAGTACACTCTTAACATCAGTCAGTCAAGATTATAATATAATAATCAAGTATCGTTTAACGATAGAACTTGAGTAATTAGAATTAAAACTTTATAACAATGTATGAATGCATATTAGTCATTTTAACTGAACATAGGACTGGTGGTGGTGCTTTTTTGGTCATTCAGTGTTTCTGTAAAAACAATTGGGAAATATAAAGATAATAATAATAATGATAATGATACGAATTCTACTAATAAGAACAATATAAAATGCACTAAGGATTAATGAGCTGCTGAATTAATGAATATTAATCAGGTTGTGTGCATTCGTTCGAACTGATTTGCTGAAATCAAATCAAGGACGATAATAGGTGAGCTCCAGCCAATGAGATTGCCATTTGCACATTAGTTCCGCCCACTATCAGAGAACCCGTCAGTTCTTAAAAGCTGAAGAATTCCAAAGGAACTGCATTATTTTGACAGGAAAACAAAGAATATCGTTTACATGTAGCGCGTCAATTCTCTCTCTCTCTCTCTGCGTGTGTGTGAGAAAGCGACGGCGAGTCGTGCGCCTTCACATGCTGCGCATCCATTCAGATGAACTGAAAACAGATGAAACTCTAAAGCGCTCAGTCAGTGTTTTCGGCGAGTGAAAATATATCTGTTCTAAACTTAGACTTATCCTCCAACACTGGCGATTAAAATCTGAAAATTGAAGTTGCATATGCGAGTGATTTACTCGCAATGTAGAGGGTTGGGTATAATGACTCTATATAGCTATATCTCAGGGATTTTATTAGAATACAACCAGAACATATAGGAAATTTATAGGCAGTATTAAAAAAACATAAAGAAACAAAATGGTGGCCTAAGACTTCCGCACAGTACTGTAAGTGCAAAATTTTTTCATGTTCAGCTAAATGGTCATGTTAGAACATACCACTTGTTTCTGGAAGGTAGGGTCTGCCAATTGCTGCTCCATTGCATTAACATCCGAGACCATCCGATTACTTTCTGTAAGAAAAAAATGCTTATTAATTAAAAAAATTTAAATTCTAATTTAAGCAAAAACATTTATATAGTCATAACAATTTGTATGATTTATAATAACACCCAAATGCAAACTGATGCAGATTTATATAAGGCAGAAACTCCTGTTTGCATGATAAATATTAAGTATTGTTGTAATATTATTGTATTTTATGTATTGTTAAAAGTACAACAGCCTTATTGTTTACTCTTCAAATCGACATCTGTCCCAGGCTACCTTATTTACACTAGATTAGCTTACACTAGCTTCTCTGCTATATAAGCCATTTGACCTCATCGTTGTGTGACGGCATTTGGCCTTAAAAGGTTGGGTTCGGGCGCCAGGGTTAAAAACCACCACAATTATTGAATTAAATTAATCATTAGAGATTAAATTATTAGAGCCACTATCAATTCTTTTATATGAATCAAATAGGACAAGCAACAACAAGAAAGGGTTTTTCAAAGTTTTCTATTCAACATCAATTCCAATCATATTATCTCATAATTCAGTACATCATATTCAACATGGAAAAAGAAAACAGAAAATAAATAAATCACAACAATTTTAATTCCAGGCCCAGGAACATTTACCTTTTAAATATCTTACAATAAATGAGTGACCAATAAATCAGCAAATAATTAAACAATTGAATAATTCAAACAATCAAATATAATGCAATAAATCTTGTACAAGACAAAATAGAATCACAATAAAATAAGACAATCACATGGGAGAAAAATAAGCATAAGAAAAATCATCTGGATGCAAAGTTAAAAAAAAAAAAATTGAAAGGGGAAAAAAAATAATTTTTAATGTATTCCCCTATACAAATACACTATTTTAACAAATTAATTTCAACAAACTTTAATTCTTAACCCCAAACAATATTAATCCAACAAATTAAAAAAACAAACATTAATTTGCTCACCGTGTCACTCATTAAACTACTGGGCCTGAAACGTAATTCATCACATCACACACAATATTAACAACAGAATTCGGCAACTAGAGCACCAAAATAAATACAAAAAAAAAACCTCCCTTCACCAAAAACCTCAAAACACACTACATATAATGCCCTAAATTAGCGTTTAAACCACAATCACCTCACAACCGAATTGGAAAAAACTCTCTCTCAAATGCTCTATTTACACGCGAAAGAGCGAGAGAGAGAGCGAGAGACGCAACCACACTTTCTTAAATAACTTCCTACCTGGTTCCCCGTAGATATGCTCAACAGCGCCACCCCTAGTACTAAATAGAAAAAGCACAAATCTCTGACGACAGTCACAGTTGTAATCTTCCTGTATCGTGAGCACACAGCCCGGTGCCAAACTTTGCAGTTTAAGTATGAGCTTTTTTAGTGTCTTTAACTTTTAGAGGGCGTAGGGAACACAAAGACATACAGCATTATCGTTTAGACATTGGCGCCAGAAATAAGAGGAAAATATGGCGCGAGCTGTGTATGATGTCTAAATTTTAACGTGACAAAAAGCCAAACTATGTTTCGGTTAACATTATGGTTTGTAAACAATGTATTTACATGCTCAACATTTTAAGCTTTAAAATTTTAATTCTTACCTTGGATACACTGATGGCAAACGTCTCCTCTCCTCCCGAAAATTACAGCAAAGCGGTCAGTGAATAATTGCGCCGGCGTGATTCAGCGCATGCCGGGTGGGGGATGGGAAATGATGAATGAAATCACGCGGGATCTGTCCCATGCAGATCGAGGAGGGGCTGCGTCTTGCGGTAGTTTGATGTCATACGCCGATCGTTCTGTGAAGTGCCGAAGCATCTCAAACAAGAGAGAGGGAGAGGTGGTGGGGGGATGGGATCTCGTGAGAAAGTTGTCAGCACAATTAAAGTGGCTGCATTTTTTTTTTTGCTAAATGTCAGTGGAAAATTGTGTACAAATGCAGGAGTGTCGGAATTTTTAGATGTTGATTAAGTAATCCAAGTGTCAAAACAACAACAAAAATAATTTTAAAGACACATATGTGCACTATATATATCCATGTAATCACCCTATATGGGATTAATTATGTTTGCACTTGTATATTTGATAAAACAAATAGGGTCCCATGTGTAGCCCATGCACAAATTTCCCATTAATTACCCAACTAGGAACCACATGGGGAGCCCACCTGGGTTCACCCATGTGGGTCCTAGCTGGGTCACCCAAGTGGGCCGCAGATAAGATGCCCATTTTATGCCTATGCCCACTCTGTAGCCCATGTGAAACCCATTTGGGCCCCACATTAACGTGTTTGCTGGGCTGTGTGTTGTCTGTTTGGGAGCGAAGCATGCGGAGTCGGCTCTTGAGGGAGCTGACTGCCCGCATTGCGAGAATTTGTCGATTCGCACGCTTCGCTCCCGGAAGGCTCTCTTTGAGAAGGGAGCCTTCGCCAGCATTCCTCGTGGCAGTGGCCCCGCTTCTGCCGAGGCAAAGTGGCGGTTGCCGTCATGTGGATCGCAAATGGATCTGGTGGAGGGAATGGAGACGGGCGAGTCCCTATCTTCTTTCTCACCCACCAGATCCAGCGCACTCACTCAGGGATCGGAAAGCCTGCACTGCGGTTTCTTCCCCTCGGGATGAGGGCTCGACGCTTCGCCTGTCTTCCTCCAAGGAGGTTGACGTGGAGAACGTCGGCGAGGCTGGGGACTCGCTCCCTCAGTCTCCCCAGTATGAGTTATTGTAGGTGATGACTCGCGCTGTGGCCAAACTGAATCTCGAGTGGCCCGCCGAGAAACAGACCGAACCGCCAAAAAGCAAGCTTGATGAATGCTTTTTGAGTAGTAGGCCGCCATCTCCACGCTGGGGCCTCACGTTTTTCCCCGACCTTCACATCGATGTGTCGAAGTCGTGGGCGAAACCATTCTCGGCCCGCATCTTCAGCCCAGCGTCCAGCCACTACGCCAACGTGGTGGGCTGAGTGATCGCGGTTGCAGGGCGATGCCTCGGGTAGAACAGACACTTGCGAGCTATCTGTCTCCCGACATGGCATCGTCCCTGAAGGCCCCAGCATTGCCCTCCAAGCCGCTGCGCACTACATCCAGCTTGGTGGACGGCAGCAGGTCAGGCTGGTGCTTGCTTGCACACCATGTAGGTGTTACAAGCATACCAAGCCGACCTGCTGAAGGAGCTATATGAGGGCAAGGAGATTAAATCGGAGGATATCACCAAGCTCGGTAGAACCGCTGATTTGTCTCTCCGTGCCACCAAAGAGACCACCCGCGCAATCGGCAGCTCTATGGCAGCACTGGTGGCTGCGGAGAGACATTTGTGGTTGATCCTGTCTGAGTTAGAGAAGGACAGTGTCTTCGTCATGGACGCCCCGCTTGCGCCTTCTGGCCTGTTCGGCGACGCCGTCAACTCGGTCGTCGACAGGTTTCAGGAGGCCTGTAAACAAGCAGCGGCGTTCCAGCGGTTCCTCCCTCGCTGCTCTCTGGCTTCTGGGGCTGCTGGGCAGGAGCAGCCCCACCCGTGTACCGGCTCCTCATACCGGGAACAACAGAAACAGAGCGTCGCCTCTCATGCTCCTCCACAGCAGGACCAAGAGCAGCAGTACTCTAGGTTGGGGTCTTCGAAGTCGAAGCCAGATCTGCGGACCGTTCTTCTGACTAAGAAGGCCTCGGCCAAGAAGCCCTGATACCTGTGCACCAGGGCTTCTGAGGGCAGGCCCCACTGGGGAAGAGCAGTGTACACCGCACCATACGGTGCCCGTCTCTCCTCAGTGCCCTCAGAAGATCGGTCTGTTAACCCTGCCACCGTCGGTGCTTCGGGGCACAGCGGTCTCCAGCGAGCGCTTCCCTCAGTCTCTGCCTGAGAATGTAGCGGTAATGGGGTGCTCGCTACCTCCACGGAGGTCTCTAGAGCAGCTAGATCAGCAGTCCCCTGCCAGGTCTCCGCTTCAGGGCACCGAGCTAGCAGCTCTGATAACACCAGAGGTCAGTCTCGAGAGACTGATTCCTTTAGTAGACTATTTGGCAGCGTGGAAGCTTCTGCCAAATGTGTCTCGATGGGACCTGCACACTCTAGAAAAAGGCTACTGCATTCAGTTAGGTTCTCCTCTGCCTCATTTTAACGGGATGATTCCCACTCTGGTGGGCCCCGAGCAGGCTCTGGTAATGAAACAAGAAGTAAACACTCTCTTGAGGAAGGAGGCCATTGAGGTGGTCCCTCATCTCGACAGAGAGTCCGGGTTCTACAGACAGCACTTTATTGTTCCAAAGAAGGATGAAGGGTTGCGTCCAATTTTAGATCTGCGTCTGTTGAACCACTCAGTCATGCGACTGAAGTTCAGGATGCTCACACTCAAACAAGTCGTGTCTCAGATCAGGTCCGAGGACTGGTTTGTCACGATCGATCTAAAAGACGCATACTTCCATGTCTCCATCCTTCCCCAACACAGAAAGTTCCTGAGGTTTGCTTTTGGGGCAAAGCTTACCAATGTCTGGTTCTTCCCTTCGGGCTTGCACTCTCACCCCCCACTTTCAAGAAGTGTGTGGATGCTGCTCTGGCTCCTCTGCGACTCCAGGGCATCCGCATACTCAATTACATCGACGATTGGTTGATATTAGCTCAATCAGAGCAGATGGCGGTTCGGCATCGAGATGTCGTTCTCACTCACATGAAAGAGCTGGGGTTAAGACTGTAGCAAATTAGCTCAAAAGGGAAATGTATATAAATAATTACAATTAATTATGATTAATTACAATTATTTATCTCAGCTGCCAGTAGTAACTGTAGCAGAATTAAATTGCCCTCAACTAATCTGTTCGTCCAACGAACATTCAGTGTAAATTCATATCAACTCTAGGAAAGGATATTTTCGTGGCCACAGAAAATACTTTCATACAGTATTAATGCATTAGATCATGTAGCGAGGATCAAAATCGTAAAGGGACATTCATTTGCAAGGCAGAATCAGAAACTCATGTAATTTGTGCACAAGAGTTTTATTAACTAAACACTAACACAAACTAGTCTAACAAACAAACAAACAAACATACAATCACTCATACATGAGAAAGGGCAAATGAGGCGTGTTGGATGAAACTAGCAGGAAAAACCAGAGAATGAAGCTATGAAAAGAGTCAGTTAACCACCTGAGTGAAACCATCAGCGCCGTTTTAGAATAGGGTCTACAGCTTATACTAAACCTCTGTTTCATTTTTCTTCCCAGTGGAAAGTGAAAAAAAGCTGAGAGACATCAGCTGAGATCCTAGGATCTTTGGTGAATGTAAAAACAAGGCCGAAGCCTGGTGCAGACATAAGAGGTGCAGAAGCATTCTAGCTCACATCCTCATCTTCTCAGAATCTAACAGAGCCAAAGACTGACTGAGGCGGGTCACTGATGTGAGAGCTTTATCTCCTATTGAGCTCACACCTCCGGGAGGTCACAGAGCCAATGGTGACACACTTTTGGAGGGAAAGTCTTAAGACTCTTTGTCTTAGAGCATGGTATTTTGCATATGTAATTCAATTGGGTGCTGATGCAAAATTACTAAAGATTCTCAGAGCACTAATATGTTGCTGCCGTGTGTTTTGAGTTTGAGCTCCGTCAAGTTAATTCTTTATCGTCTATTTTTTATCTTAAAATAAATTTTATTAGATCATCCGAAGATGAATTCATAGAGACCAAACATGATATATGTAAGGTTACATGAATGGGTGGTTCTATCATAAGCATGCATAAAACAGTATACAATACAATATACAATATACAAGAACAGTAACAACATACACAATGACCTGAAGTATATATGTGTTCATTCAAAGAAAAGTTGTCTTATGAATTAGAGAAGAGTCAATTTTTATGGGCATTATGTGTCTATTTTAGAGAGACTTGAGTAAGAGTTGATTCTCTCTACATACTTTTAGATCGTAAAAGTATATCTGATCTGGCTGAGGGGTCCTGGGTTCCATGGTAACCAGGGGCCTGGGGTCGTTCCCAGACATGCTGGCACCCAGTATGTTTATTGGGTGAGGGATCTGTGATTGTTTGTTAATCTAATGAACAAATGTGTGTCTGATTGGTCCAAATGCTACAGACTAAACGCCAAGAAAAGTGTGCTTTCTCCACTACAGAGAACCACTTATCTGGTCGTGGTGTGGGATTCGACCACGATGCAGGCACATCTGTCTCTTGCTTGGATCGAGTCGATCCTCACTGCAGTTGTGAGAGTCAGAGAAGGCCGGTCACTCACTGTCAAGCAGTTCCTAAAACTGCTGGGTCTGATGGCAGCTGTGTCCAACATGATACCTTTTGTCCTGCTGTACATGAGACCCCTACAGTGGTGGCTCAAGACCGAGGGGGTTTCCGCGAAGGGAAATCCGCTTCGCATGATCAAGGTCACACGGCGATGCTTTTGTGCCTTAGACATGTGGAGGAAACCTTGGTTCTTGTCATAGGGCCCAGTGCTGGGAGCTCCTTGTTATCGCGTAACGCTAACGATGGATATGTCCCTCACTGGTTGGGGAGCGGTCATGAGTGGCTGCCCAGCCACAGTCTGCGCCATCTCACTGACCCAGATGTGGTGGATCAGATTTGGAGAGTGTTTGGCCAGGCTCAGGTGGAGCTGTTTGCGACTCAGGAGACATCACACTGTCCCCTCTGGTTCTCTCTGACTCATCCAGCTCCTCTCGGACTGGATGCCATGGTGCAGACGTG